TATATATATATATATATATATTATAAAACAGGACAAGGAAGGCTTGCAAAGGTTCGGCCGCACAATTCAAAATAATCCACAGCTTCATTAAACCCAAAAAACCTTCGGCCGCATATTTGCAAACTCTTCCGCCCGATTTCTAAAGAGCCCAGATACTCCAGCCCTAACTTTGGAGACCGACAAAGGCCCCAGCCACAAAGAGCTTCCAGTCCAAAAAACCGGGCAGCAATTCACTCATCCACAATACTCGGCCGCACCTCCTTTGAGGACCTCCGGCCGCGAATTTCTCCAATCCCGGTTGAGATTTTCAACTCGACTCGAACTGCCCAACTTGCTAGGAAAACAACTACAGCCGCCACCATCATTCGACACAGTTCCAAATTATGTTACCCTCTTTTCGGCCGGGGCGGCCGACGGAAGGAACTTTTGGTCCTTCTTCTTTTGGATGCGGGGCGTGCCACCACCAAGCCCCGAAATTGGGCTTGAATGGAATGAGAATAGATGGATGTGTTGCGCTTCTAACTTCTGAGCAAACGATTGATCGACCAAGCAAGGAACCTCTTCTTGGCCTAGATTCTTTCACTTTCTCGGGCTCGAGAATGGTTAGGTTTCGTACGGATGTTTTTGTGATTTTTATGGTTTATGTAAAAATAATGCAATTAAACTAAATATGCGTATAAACGTAAAGACAAGAATTGAAATGCAATAAAATAAATCAAAGTGACAGATAAAGTAAGAATAAAATAAAAGCGATAAGAACGATAAGAACGAAAAGGAAATAAACTTGAAGTTAAATTTAATCGAAGTGCGATAACAATTAAATGTAAAGGAATTGAAATAAACTTGAATTGAAACGACAAGAAATATAAACTGAAACAAGAATTTAAATGACAAGGAAAATATAAACTTACACTAGCAAAACGAAGAACTCACTACACACAACATCAGACAAACAAACCTATCCCCCCAAACAAAAGGTAATTGTAATCTGACAGATGCTCAATCTACCGCAATAATAATACTAATAAACATATCGAGATAATTATTGTTGTGACTGTAACACCGCTCGTAATGTTGTTAAACTAATCCGCAAATGTTTTCACCCATATATTTGACGTTAAATTATGTTATTCATTTATATTATAATAACATGTAAGTTTATAATAACGTCATGTTGTCGTGCGTTAGTGTCCCATAAAAAATTTATCCTATAATTGTATTGAACATAATTGAGTTCAATCACATATGGTGTGAGTAGTAGTCGGTAGCACAAATAATTGTTCTAAATGTAAGCATATGATGTGAAAAGTATTCATAACGTGCTGCATAAAATTCACATGTGTTGTTTGAAAGTTCTAAATATAAGCATTTGGTGTGGTGTGAAGAGTATTTATAACGTGATGCATAAAATTCACCTGTGTTGTTTGAAAGTTCTAAATATAAGCATGTGGTGTGAAAAGTATTCATAACGTGTTACATAAAATTTACATGTGTTGTTTGAAATCAATTTAGGGTTAGTTTGGTATTTCTGTGCTTTTCAAAAAAATAAAAAATAAAATTGCTTCTATTGTGCTGTCAGAATAAATAGCTGTGAAATGAAGCAGTGAAGCATTTGGTAATCTATATTTGTAAAAATGTTGTGAGTATAAAAAGCAGTGTTATAACGTTTGGTAACTTTTTTCAAGAAGTGCTGTGATTGTGTATAATGACCAAAAAGGGTATGATATTGAAATTGATATTTATGTTTTTTTTAATTAAATTTTTTTTAATATTTATGTTCTTTTACAATACATTTACAATTTTTTTTTTTTTTAATCTTAATAGTAAATTAGTAATATACACTAAAAAATTAAAATTAAAATTTGAGAAGGCCCCTTTTCTCCTTTTTCTTTTTCGCTCCTTAAATTTTTTTTTTTTTTCTCTCGACCCTTCTCCATCCTCTCCCTCCTCAGCCTCTTCATTCAACAAACCAACAGCCCAAAGGCACATCAACAACCCAGTCGCCACCATCCCACCATTTCTACCCACAAACCCAATCCCACCCAGTGCATACACCCACCCATCACGATCAAGAGATGCCTGCCTGGTAGTGCCTTTGCATACTGAATTTTATCATGCCCTATCCTCCCTCATGTCCTTTTCTTTTTTTTTTCATCATCCCCTCTCCAGTCTATCCCTTTCTACCCCATCCTAAAATTTGAAAAAAACACCCTTCATCCTCTGTCCCGTCAGCCTCCAGCCACCGCCTCCGTGCCTCACCTCAAGATCTCCTCGGCCCAACGCCATAAAACAGATCTGGGTAGGTGTGGGTGCTGGTTTGGGTTGGGTTTGTGAGTAGGGATGGTGGGTTGGGTTTGTTGAAATGTCGAAAAAATAATTTGGAGATATAAGAGATCTGTGAGAAAAATGAGAGATTAATGGGGAGTGGGAAGAGAGAGCTACAGAGGACTGAGGTAGGAATGGGTGATCGTGAAAAATGAAGAGGGTAAATCCATCATTTTCTAAAATAAACGAGGACAATACGGGCATATTGAAATATTCATTAAAGAGCCCCGCATGTTTCCATTCGCATCAACTTTTAAAAGCAGCATCTCAGGTGCTTCTAAAAACTACTGCTAGTGACCTGCAATTTTCAAAAGAATTTTTATCACGAATGGTCTTTGACGTTTATAAAATTATCACGAATGATGTTTGAGGATTTTTTGTGACATTCATAGTCTTTAGTATTATGGTTTTTTATCACAAATAGTCATTGCCATTAGAAATTCTGTTAAAGATAAGTAGAGCCCAAATATCCAATCACATTGTGACATGTGAATGAAAAAATAAATAAATAAATTTTCTTTTGCTCTCCCCTTCTCCTCTCTGTCCTCTCCTTGTGGTAGAGAAAATGTATAGTTATAAAACTATATCTTCGTCGTAGAGAAAGGAGTGTATAGTTGATAATCATACAAAATAATATAACCCATTTTCAATAAATATAATAATATAACCCATATATCTTTCTACATCTTTGTATAGTTGTATATCATAACCCACAACCTGGGAATCTCCCTCTGTTCTTTCTTGCCCACTACACCCGCAAGAAAAAATGGTCTCTGGGATTCTTTTAATGGTCTCTGTTTTTTTTAACACTGCCACCCCTAACCCAGCCCAACTCCCCTACCCTCTCCCTCTGTATTTTCTCTCCTCCCCTATCCCCTTCTGTTTTTAATTATTTTAAGTTGTTTGAATAAATGTTTGTGTAAAAGGAAATGTGAAACTACCTTGTGCAAGTGATTATTTTGCAAAATATACAAAAGGGAGAAGGGTGGGTTGCGGGTGGTCGGGTTGTAGAGGCAAGAAAATAAACAGAGGGAGAGGGAGCGCATAGGAAGGAGAGAGAGAGGCTAAATGGGATTTTTAATGGAGTTTCATCAAAAAAATATGTATTTATTTATTTATATAATACACATGTCATAATGTGATTGGACATGTAGACTCCACTTATCTTCCACATCAGACACTTAACAGAATTTCTAACAGCATGGATCATTTGTGATAATAATAAAAAAAACCCTAACGTTAATGACTATTAATGTCACAAAATAACCTCAAAGATCATTCGTGATAATTTTATAAACGTCAACAACCATTTGTAATTAAAAAAATAAAAAAATAACTTTTGGAAAAAGCAGTTTTGTCTTCATTTACCAAACACTTTTTCATTTAGAATTTTAAAAGCACAACAACTCCAAACTAAGCCATATAAATACAGCTACTAGTCTACAACGAAGTTACACTCGGAAGTCCAAAGGAGAGCTTAGAACGAGTTTGGTGAAGGTCTCAAGAAGCAAACATTCTTGTTATAGAGGTTTAAAGGAGTGATGGCTATCGGAAATTTCTCTTTACTTGCTGCTGCTGCAAGAAGGTATTTATATATGCATCTATTTACCTTTTTTTTTCCCTCTTCACACCTCCTAAAATCTTATGATTTTCATTTTATCCTAACTCTTGTCCCAATTAAAACAAGATGATTGTATTCTTTTTTGTTTTTTCTTTTGTTGTCTAGGATGGTCGTAGTTGTCATGACTATGGCTCTGGTAACTATCACGGCTGTGTCCTAAATTTCTTTTTGAATTCTAATTATGTTTAAAAATAATAATAAAAAAAAGAGGATGAATTTAAGATGGAAAAGAAATAGAATTAATTAATTTCAATCGGTCTTTGACTCCTGGCAAAAAAAAACAAAAAAAAATGGGGCTGTGACTAATTAGTTATTTTCCACAGAAAACAACACTCAGTCAGTAGTTAGGCCGACTACAAATGGGGCTGTGACTTTGTATTCCTGAAGCTTATTTGGTTGATGTCAAGAAATTTAATATGTATTTATTTTATAATAAATTTTATTGGAAATTAGTTAATGGAGCTATAAATTAGAGCGGTTTATATGATTTAATGTATATTTTTATTTATAGAAAAACTACAAAAATTGTAAGTTAAAAAAAATCATTAGATTTTAAGCTAAAATTTTTAGGAGGCTTTTTTTTAAATAAATACTAAATTTATTAGAATTAAAAAAGATAATAGATAGTTGTATTCCATAAAAAATAGGATTCATTATCTGATTATTCTATATATATATATATATTTATTTATTTATTTATTTATTTATACAAGTGATAGTCTAAATTACTCTAAATTAATCTAATCTTCAAGAAGGGGAATTTTTGAAATTGGGGTGCAAGGGCACGGGCTCTTTGCCATGTTAATTAAATTATGAACCTATGATTTAACCCTTACACCTTTGACGAATATCATAGCACAATTAAATTATGAACCTATATTTGCTAATTATCTTACAAGGAGACCATTGGAGACTAGGGATCGAAGACTAAAACTCAATTTTATTTCAAAATTTTCCCTTTGGTAATTTTTATATGAAGTTCAGTTTCCCCTTTGTCGTTCTAAATCCAACTTCCTTAATTACATTGAGTGGAACACAAGACTTTCACCATTTGAGGAGTGATTTGCCATTGTTATCATGTTTTATTTTGAAACTCACACTGCTCTGTAAATACTGAAGGCTTGAAGGTAAAGTGGCCGTAATCACTGGTGGGGCGAGCGGCATAGGAGAGTCCGCTGCAAGACTCTTCTCAAAACATGGAGCTAAAGTTGTGATTGCAGATGTGCAAGACGACTTGGCTGAATCTGTTTGCAGAGACCTAAGCCCTTCGTCCACTTCGTTTGTCCATTGCGATGTAACGAAAGAAGAAGACGTCGAAAATGCTGTCAAAACAGCCACAAACAAATATGGAAAGCTAGACATCATGTTCAACAATGCAGGTGTAGTTGGCATGACAAAACCCAACATCCTTGACAATGACAAGGTAGAATTTGAGCAAGTGATTAGGGTAAATCTGGTTGGTGCGTTTTTGGGGATCAAACATGCAGCTCGCGTTATGATCCCAGCTGGAAAAGGTAGCATAATCAATACTGCTAGTGTTTGTTCTACCATCGGGGGTTGCGCACCACATGCATACACAAGTTCAAAGCATGGTTTAGTAGGGCTGGTGAGAAACACGGCCGTGGAGCTTGGACAACACGGTATTCGTGTGAATTGTGTGTCACCGTATATAGTTTCCACGCCGTTAGCGAAGGAGTTCTTTAAGCTTGATGATGATAAACTTCATGGTGCTTATTCCAACCTTAAAGGTGGGGTTCTTAAGGCAGAAGATATTGTTGAAGCTGCTCTTTACTTGGGAAGTGATGAGTCAAAGTATGTTAGTGGGCATAATCTTTTGGTAGATGGAGGCTTCACTATTGTGAACGCAGGGTTTTGCATGTTTGAACAAGCTTGAGAAAAATGTTCAATGTAATAAGTTGGCAAATCCTCATTTCCGTATATTAAATTAATAAATTAAATTGTTTCAACATTTCTAGACAACACATGCTATCTTGTTTCATGCATAATTTGCAGATCAAAATTGTATGGCTAATATCACATTCTGTGTACCTTAAAGACCACTAAGCCTTTTTCATGTGCCGTCACAAACAAATGTCAGAGTCACCAAACAAAATTGTACCACCACTTCCATGTAGCAATAATTCGCATGGTATGAAAGAGAAACAATAATTCGCAGGAGTCTTGTATTTTTCTTTACTGAAAAAAAAAAGGGAGTTTCACTAAAACACCCAAAATGGGGGTTGAAATTATAAAAAAACCCAAGCACTATTGAAACATATAAACACACCCAAAACCCATCATTACACACACTCAAAACCCATTTATAAACACACCCAAAAAGTTGACTTTGGGGTTGATTTTGGGTGTGTTTCTATGTTTAAATAATGCTTGGGTTTTTTTATAAATACATGTCTAGGATTGGGTTTATTTATAAATTTGTAAAAAAAAAATTACAAAGAAGACCTGCAGATCTTTAAATTAAATAATAAGTAAAATTTTAAACTTTACAAAACCTGAGATCGGAAATTGATCAACAATATACTGTATACAAATACATTTCTTGGCCGTTTGGCTAAGATCAAAGGTCGCACGACTGCATATGTGGGTAATTCTTTTATTTTGCTGCTCTATAGCCGACATGGTATAAAAGAGAAGCAACCTAATAGATGCACATTCTACCACAAAATAATAATATAACATATCAAGAAAATTATTGTTGTGATTGTAACACGGCTTGTCCCCAAATGTTTTAACACATTTATATATATTAATGTTTTTTTGAAGATTTTTTATTATTATTGAGAGAGACGATAACATATTAAATTCACACAGAATAATGATGGTAGGACTCGGACTTAGAACTTTTCATGGAGAGCAATTACAACAAATCCCTACACTAGTGGGTCTAGGGACGGAGTCTTATTAAGGCCAGAAGGGGCCTGGGCCCTCCCAAAATTTTGACACAATTTAATATTTTTGGTCTTCGCTTTCTATTGGTTTAGGAAGCATATATAATAATTATTGCTTGTGGCCCCCTCAAAATAAAGAAAAGATGTGTTTCTCTTTACAAGTAAAAGACTGAGTGATTTCTTCACAAAATAGTAAGATTAAGTGATTTTAGAGCCCACAATATATTAATAAAAATAAAAACATCCAATCAAATGACGTTTCAAAAAATCTCCTTTATCAAATAGGAAGTAGAGTTTTTCCCAAATAAAAAAGAATTGGGATTTTAATTTTCATTGTTATAGTTATATGTTTTGTATCTTATATGTTCTATGCATAGAATATGAATTTTTTTTTTTTTTTTGGTGTGGTATATTTATGAATCAAGTCCTTAATAAATTTTGTAATTGATTTGTAGATGAAGAAACAACCTAGAAGAAGAATTTCTCACGGAACTCTTTGATTATGTACATCGAAAGGGAAATTGCAGAAAAGTTTAGCATTGACTCAATCGTAGATGGTTTTGGAGATATGAAAGAACGACAAGTGTTATTTTGAAACCTAATTGAATAAACAATTTTTTTCTGCCTTTTATTTTTCCAAACATTGTTAAGGTTGAAATTTTGAAATTTTTTAATGTCTTGTTTGGTTTATATGTTGTCCCCCACAACACATAAATTCCTGGCTCCACCATTGAGTGGGTCCTTTCACATATATAATTTAATGTTAAATTAAGGTCATACGTCCATATTAAACATGAAACGACCTGACCCAAATTCCACTTTGGAATCCGGGTCGAATCCTGTACAAAACTGACACCTAGTGCCTGTGGGTCGTAAATGACCAAAATGCCCTGGAAGCGATAACACAAACTCTGGGGCCCTATCTCGTGGCTGCGCCTGGTAACTGTAGGCTGCCTACGTACCCTTTCTGAGGGATCAAGCCACACGTAGTTCTTTCCTGTGTTCTTGACCTGCAACAGGTTCGTTATTTTGTAACTGGTTTAATTTACTGTAAACCCCACTCTAGGGCTGACATTTCTGGAGTATCCGGGACTCCGTTTTACGATCCGTCAAATA